CACAAAGAGAAAAAGAGTGTTACGAAATCATTTTCGTATTAGTTCTGAACGAGAATAAACACGACATGACACAACTCGATCGCAACCCTAACCCATTTGGGCCTGAAAGAACCAAACATATGGGCCTTGAAAGCCTCAAAGAAATTTGGGCCTTAAAAGCCTTAAAGACATTTGGGCCATAAAAGCCCTAAACGCTGAGACTGAACAGCCAAACGCAGCTCTTTGTCATCATCTTCTTTTTCACCTGAATCGAACTCCACAACCCTTTCACTTAGGTTCGTTTACTTTCAACCAAAACCCCCAATCCTTCAATTCGCACACACAATCTATACATACATTTATATATATATACATACATTTATATATATATATATATATATATATATATATTTTAGCTGATTAGAGTTTCAATTGTTTGCTGCTATTTGATTTTTCTGATCCATTTTCCTGCAATTGCGCAACAGAGAAAGAGAGAGAGAGGAGAGTATCTGTGATCGAGCATGGGAGGAGGTGAGCACGCACACGGAGATGGAGCCCACGGCGGCGATTTCAGGGCTAAGGTGTGGAGTATGAGTGGTGGGCCGTACTGTAGGCCCAAGCACTGGAAGCGCAACACCGCCATCGCCATGGCCGGCATCTTCCTTGTCTGTATTCCTATCGCCATGAAATCTGCCGAGCTCGAGGTCTTTCTCAATCACCTCAACTCATCGCAATCTGTTTCTGTTTTTCTATTTTATCCGTCAAAATTTTAGATTTCTGTTTGGTTCCTGAGAAAATGTAGGAAACCTAAGGAAGGTGAAGTTTTGGATCTTGGATTGTCAAATTGTTGGGACCCGAATGCACTCTTGACTGAACTGAGGCTCTCATGAATTGTTTGGATTTAGTAGAGGTTTAGATTTTCACCTTGTGAAATTAAGCACACCTTTCCGGTAGATTTGAGAAATTGTCAGCTGATTTTGTTTCCCATGGTTATAGTGGATTGTGTACGACATGTATCGGATTGTGAGCATTACTGATTCGAATGAGGGTCGAAGATCGCCATTGTGATTTAGGATTGTAGGTTTGTCAATTTGTAGCTGGGAGGCTCTTGGTTTAAAATGTTGAGTGGTTGACTTGACTTGGGAACATTGAGAAAACAGTAAACTTAGGTTAATGTAAGGGAGTTTAGTAGATACAGATTGTTACGAGAAGAGAGTTTTGAATGATTTAGAAGATGCTGGCACAGGTTGTGATGAAGGATTCAGAAATTGACGATGCTCGAACATGAAGGAAAACCCATGAAACCCAGGGTTTAATATAATTTAGAGAATTCGATTAAGATCTGCTTGATAGGATTACCTAGTTTTGTCTTGACTTTCATTGATGCTTGGTTAAAGTTTTTGGCTATTAAATGCCTTTCATTGATGCACTGGTGTAGCTTCGCTATCCTCTTTTCATTTTTGTTTCTCAAAAAAAATCTGAGCAGGGTTGGAAGTTTAAATGTGACAAATTTGGGGTCCTTAAGCTTTGGTTAGTATGCTAAACTTTTGAAAACTCAAATACAAAACCTTGCTAATACTAATTACGAGGCTTGTTTTATACTCTCAGTTATTGAAAATTAGGGCAAAAGTGCACGTTTCATTGTAATGGGAGTAAAGCTTAGGTGGTGCTCTAGACTGCCAGTCAATAATAAATAGGGCATTCAAGCTGAAGCCCATAAGCTAAGGATGCAAGCTGATACATGGCCTTTTTGAAGTGTGACAAGATGTATCCATGTTTGCATTCAGATTTTTAGTGCCTCAGATATAGCGGGATGGAAGGAATTGTTACTTACTTAGTTAGCTATGTCATACTTTTTATATGTCATGAAACTTTATGCAACTAACGGAGATCACGTGTTTTCATTTTGACATTTTATTTCCTTGAGATATTGATAAAAGGATGTTATTTACTTGTCTGTTAGCTTTTTTAAGTTCCTTTGTATCATGAAAAATTTGTCTTTGTTTTATAATTTCTTTCGGATGCTTCTTATTCTAAATTAATATTCATTAATATTGCTACTATTCTAAAAGATATTCCTTGACAGTGCATGAATGTGGGCTGAAATTTTTTAATTACTTGTTCAAAAAGGCAAAGCGTTCTGGTGGGGATTAGATGCTGTTCTTCTTGAATTGATTTGTGCCACTCCCTTTGTATGGCCGATGACTAAAATTTGCATAAACTGGTCATGATTAGTTCTAAGAGGACTTATATTTTAATTGCAGCAACGGCCACATAATCCTGTTCGCCCGATTCCTTCACAACTCTGGTGCAAGAACTTTGGAAAGAAAGACTACTGAGTTTATTTAGGACCATCCGGTGAAGAAGTACCTGTGGAGGTTAGGAATGCGAATTATTCCTTGTAGATGTTTGTGGAGAATATGAGCTGCCTTTTAAGACATTTGTGCTCGTGTTTCCATAGTATTGAGTCCATGGCTCATTGATTGCGAGGTATTTGCTTGCTAAACTATCAATCACCATAATAAATTGTCAGACTCCTTTTGTAGCGATTCATTGAATATTTGATTTCGGTCATGCTTGTTTTGCTGATGTTGTTCCATCCTTGTGTCCCTCTAATTGATGTATGGCTTAGCATTATCATTACATTATATAATTGAAGAATGTTATGATGTGCCTCTGTCGGCCTCCTACATGCCAAATCCAATGGTGCGAAATAATTCAAAAAAGGAGAAGATTACACAATTTCTGGTTGCCACAGCGGTCGAAATATGCTGAAAGATTTTGTTCCAGGCAAAGAGAGAGGAAGTCCTTTCTTCTGCTTGAAGCAGACAAATGGAATCAAATTCCAATTTTGTTGACTCTGTTCATTGGAATTGCTCATACAACTGTGCTTTCTAGAAAAGTATTTGTAAGGTACTTCCACTAAACGCTTTTATGAACCAGAAAAACTTCTAACAGAATAACACTTCCATAAGCAAGTGGAAACATGTGTTCTAATTCTATTGACTCGTGACTCACGAAGATAGCAAGAAAGTTCGATTTGACATTTCTCCCTTCCTTCCTCGTCATCATTCAACTCTTGTAAATTGTATTTGCCGACACAAACATGCGTTACAACTTGCTTCTAGTAATTTTACAAAGAACAACATTGGCATTTTTATACCTTTTGACTATCATCGATGCCATATAAAAACATCGAAAAGTTGTTCAAATTACTCCTCAATTGAGGAAAAAGTAAATAAGAGAAATGGTTCATGAATTAGGATTCAATTCGAGTTTTGATTCTAGCCATTGTTATTAGTTTTTCGTCTAAACTATGCACGTGAGAAGTGTGGTCATTTCTATGTTGCTTGATAATCGTATTTTTTGAATTATCTAAGTATTTGAGAATGTTTTGTCATTTAGTACTACGGTCTAATGGTATTCTCTTCACTTGCAAGTGAGAGGTTATGTTTGATTCTTATCAAATGCGAATTTGAATCACATTATTGCTAGTATATTGTGAGGTTTAGCCGCTCCCCACCCATTAGTGTAGATAATATCATTTGTTAAAAAAAAAAAAAAAGTATTTGAGAAATTTTTAATAATCTTACACAATTTTTTTAATTCTTCTTTCTAAGGAGGTGCTTATGAAAAAAAAAAAAGAAACAAATCAATCATAATTGAACAAGAAAATCTAAATCCACAAGATAAAAAAATCTAGGTATTATTTCATAATAAAGACTTACTTAGGAGATAATTTAGGATATAAAATATAACACTATAATTGATCAAATCTTAAAACACTCTGAATTATTTCATCATCCAACATTTTGATACAAATTATGCTACCAATCTCGTGCACTATATCATGACTATAGAATTCATCGTGAGACTCATATCAATCAACATACGTGAAAACATCATGCGGCGTAGATGCTATCCTATTGTCACAGGAGGTATTCATCAATTTACCCCTTAAACTTGTAAGATTTGGCCAATTTCCCCCTCAACTCTCATAATTAGTCAATTTACACCCTACTGTTAAATTTTTTAATTTTTCATCCATTCTTCCGTTATCTTCTTCATTTTCTCTTAACTTTCTCTTCTTCTTCCTTTTCTCCAAGTCGAGCCCATGCTGGTTCCACCGGCATGATTTTCCCAGCGAACACCAAAAGAAACAGCCGGAAGGATCTAAGCTCGTAGATCTGCTTTCACTTCTGGAGATCCATCCACTCCTCAATTTTTGACGAAGGTGAGGGAGAAAGAGGGGTCACCCCAACAACTCCCTTGGTCCTTAACGTACTCAATCAGTCCCCCGAGGCCGGACGTACGGTTTTAGGGTTTAACCAGTGGCTTAAGCGTAGCACGAGCTCGCCTTGGAGAAAAGGAAGAAGAAGAGAAAGTTCAGAGAAAAGGAATAAGATAACAGAAGCATAGATGACAAATTCAAAAATTTAACCGTAGATGCAAATTGACTAATTATGAGAGTTGAGTGGAGAAATTATCCAAAATTAAAGTTTAGGAGGGAAATTGGATAATGTTTACAAGTTCATGGGTAAATTGATGAATATCTTTTGTCACAGATACTCAATGGTAAATGTAATAGCCACGTGGCAAAATCCAAACATGGAAATCACCAATGATCAGCGGTCCAAAAGCGCCAGAACCTGTTAACCAGTTCCCCCTTTCCCACTGGTCAAAATCGTCCACTTGCATGCCTACCCCACATTCGCGTATATATACCCTTAGCTGCCCAGGTCCACCTGGGCAGCTTTCCCTCCTCTTCCGCGGCCACTCACAATCGTGCTTCCGCGTATTCTCCCCGCTGCCCGAAAATCCCGGTCAGCCACGGTCCAGCGCTCACATTCTCCTCTTTCAAGAGCTTCAACTGCTTCTTTTTTCACAGACAAAAAAGGAAAGAAAAAAACAATTAAATCGAAAAAAAATTTACAAAAAGTAAATTAAAATTTGCGATCCTATAAATTGATCCGAAGTCACAGTCAGTAGAAAGAAAGCGTCGGTTTTGGTCGTTTCGCAGAATGTGGAGGGCAGCGCGATTCGCCGCGTCGCGGCGGCTGAGCAACCGGTCGACGAGGCCGTTCTCGACTGCGATTCCCGGCCCCTGTATGGTTCACAAGCGCGGCGCCGATATTCTCCATGATCCATGGTTCAACAAGGTTGGTCCGATTCACCCTTTTTTATTTTTTTGTTTTCTGCAGTGTGATTTGAGTTGATTTTTTTTTAAAAAGAAATAATTTTAGTTGATGTAAACGATAGAACTGTACAAGGAGTGAATTTGTACTGCTTTTCTTGAATCTTGAATCTTTAAGCATACATTGTGATGATTTTATAAAGTGAAGGTGGAGTTTTTCGTCGCGGTTCGAAGAAATTTTAGTTCTGGATAGTGATGTAGAACTTATATGGATCGAAAGGATACTTTTTTTTTCAATTTTTGAAGTGGATGGTGCTTGAAATTTGCTGAATTTGTTTGAACTGTAAAATTTGATGAATTTTTTGTTTTTGTTTTTGTTTTTTACTTGTTTAATTCTCTGTTCTGAATGTTTGTTTTCATCAAGAGCAGGACACTGGATTTCCGTTGACTGAAAGAGATCGACTAGGACTTCGCGGTCTCCTTCCCCCTCGTGTCATATCGTTCGAGCAGCAGTATGCTCGTTTCAGTGAGTTTCTTACATAATTTCTCCAAGTAGAACATATTTGTACATTGTTTGACTATGAAACTTATGTCCTAGCAAGGAGATGTTTTGTGATTGTTTTTTTAGCATTGGCATTGAGGGTTTATGCAATGACATTTTCGTGTGGTTTAACTTTTTAGTGGAGTCTTATCGGTCACTAGAGAAAAATACTAAGGGCCAGCCAGAAGGTGTTGTGGCCTTGGCTAAATGGAGGATTTTAAATAGACTGCATGACAGGAACGAGACCTTATACTACCGAGTAAGTTTGGTTTTGAATTTGTACATATCAACAACTTTATGTAATCTATCGTCTTCTGATGTGGTTTTGGATGACGCTCATTCCCAGGCCCTTATTGACAACATCCAAGATTTTGCTCCCATAATCTACACTCCTACAGTAGGATTAGTATGTCAAAATTATTCTGGGTTATTTAGGCGCCCTCGTGGAATGTACTTCAGTGCAAAGGATAAAGGGGAGATGATGTCTATGATCTACAACTGGCCAGCTCATCAGGTAAATGCTACCAGCTTTTATTTTTCTCCAGGTTTTGAGCCCCATTCTGATAACTTCTATTGATCTATATTTTTAACTCCTTAATCCTTAATCCTTAATCTTCTTGTTCTTATAGAGGACTTAAAACACCCTCACATAAACTCTGTCTCTCTTTTTGTCAAAATGCAGCATATCTTGATGGCTTCTCTGTTGGGATTATTTTTTATTTTGTAGACTCCAAAATAATAACTTTCTGTTCTACTCCCTATGTTTCTAGTCCTTTCGGTTTGTAGTTGGTATTCATTTTCACTCTATATTGCAGGTAGACATGATTGTCCTCACAGATGGCAGTCGTATTCTTGGCCTAGGTGACCTTGGAGTTCAGGGAATTGGAATTCCGATAGGAAAACTTGATATGTATGTTGCTGCAGCTGGTATTAATCCACAAAGAGTATGTTTTCTCTCTTTCTCTCTCTTGGAGTCCACATCTTATGTTTCTACTAATATTCATGTTACACTTGTGTTGGTAAAATAAATTATTCCGGTAGATCTTCTGTCGCTTAACCTATGTACCTCTATGACAGATACTACCAGTTATGCTAGATGTTGGTACTAACAATCAAAAGCTACTTGAAGACCGTCTTTGTAAGTAATATATGAATTCAAAATTTTCTGTTAATTATACTCAACCAAACACAACAGTGCCACAGTGTTTACAAAGCATTTTAGTTCCTGTAAGGAAAAGTTGTAATGACAGTGACTGTTTACTGTCTTTTTCTCGAGCATGACTTTACCCTATTAAAAGTTATACTACCAAAATATGAATCAGAATAAATATGCAGTTTGACTACATATTACAGTTTAATAAAAAAAATTTAAATTTTAATAAATTTCTGTTAATTATATTATGTTATACAACTTTTCGAATTTATTCTTGGCTTCTTTTCCATCTTTACATTGAATGACTGGACTTAATGCTTCAAAACTTTCCAGTTTACATCATGAGGATGCCTTTTCTCATGATTTTAATTTGATAGATTTAGGACTTCGACAACCTAGGTTGGAAGGAGAAGAGTACATATCAATTGTTGATGAATTCATGGAAGCTGTTCATACACGTTGGCCCAAGGCCATTGTGCAGGTCTACTTTTGAGATGCATTAACCTTTTATATCAGTTTGGTTTCTCCTTCCATATTAACTTGATTGTTTTTACTTTCATCAGTTCGAGGATTTTCAAATGAAGTGGGCTTTTGAAACACTGCAACGCTATCGTAGAAGGTTTTGCACGTTCAATGATGATATACAGGTGATAGTGTGGCTTTCTGTCTTTTATGGATTTGAAAGGTATATGCAGTGGAATACAGATTTCTGCTAAACTGAAATAAGTACCTCTGATAGTTGTGCTTCCATGTATTTTAGGGAACTGCCGGTGTTGCACTTGCAGGACTACTAGGAGCTGTAAGAGCGCAAGGTCGACCATTGAGTGACTTTGCTAAACAAAAGATAGTTGTTGTGGGAGCTGGCAGGTACTTTACATGCTCATTCACTCTGAACAATTCATATATAGGCTATTCACTGGTTGCCTGTGCATGTTATTGGCACTTTGTTCATCCTTTTAATTCACTCTTTTTTGCCTTTCAGTGCGGGACTTGGTGTTCTTAACATGGCTGTACAGGCTGTTGCAAGAATGTCAGGGAACGGTGAAGCTGCTGCAAAAAATAACTTTTTCCTGATTGATAAAGATGTATGGCTTTATGTTTTTTCTTTAAGATTCACCACCATTATGTTAAACGGATTACATACATGTGCAGCAAATTAATTCTATAACGACCTTATGGTTTTGTCAACTATTTACTGTAGTTACACACATCTTTATTGATATTGCTACCCTCCTGGTGTAAGGAAAAGAGACATGGAATCAGCTGTGTTCTCAAAACTATTTTGGCCCTTGATGTATGTTTCTAAGTTTATCTGAAGAATCACTAAGAAAAGTTGTTTGGGTGCAGGGTCTAGTTACAAAAGAGAGGAATAAGATTGACCCCATGGCTGCACCTTTTGCTAAAGATCCAGGAGCAATTGATGGGCTTAGGGAGGGAGCTAGTCTACTTGAAGTGGTAAATCTCAAAGGACTTGACTGTACCATCTATCACAGAAAGTGGAATGATTTTAATATAAGAGAATCGAATCACCTTGCTTAGTACTAGTTATCCTCTCGATTTATATATCATAATATAAACATCAAATGTTTCGCACTCAATTTCGTGCAGGTTAAGAAGGTCAAGCCTCATGTGCTTCTTGGTTTGTCTGGTGTTGGCGGTGTTTTCAATCATGAGGTGGATACTTTCTCAATAACATTTGGTTATATTTATAATCATCTCTTAAACTAGATCACTTTACTGAAGATGATTTGATTCTGTTAATGTTTGTTTGTCTGGTGTGGCCTTTTGCTAATTGGTATGTTGTTAGTAAACCATATGGGTTTTTGTGTCAGCAACTAGCATTCACGCATAATGTTTAAACAATTCTTTTGGAATGAATATAAGATTTGCCAAGAGAGATAAGCCTGTATATGTACATGCCATAGATTTATAAGAATATCCATGAGAGACAAACCAAATCAGACTTTGATTTTCAGTGTTACTGATTCAGATTACATGATTTATGATTTGATAACTCAGTTTATCTTTTTTTAAATATAATATGTGTACGCTCAATGTATATATTAAAAAATTTAGGTCCTGTGAGGCTTAGCCTCACGCCTTGCCCGGGCTATCCCTCGGACGTCTCGCCCACGCCTCACGCTTTTAATACATTGACCATGATTCAGATACATTGATAATTTAGGTTCATATTATAGAGCATTTGAAAAATTCATTGCTCTTCCCTATTTGTTTACAGAAAATATTGTGTTTCCTTTTCTTTTAAGATGGTTTCTTATAGTTGTTGGTTGGTATTCATATAGGTACTTAAAGCGATGCGAGAATCTGATTCAGCTAAACCTGCGATTTTTGCTATGTCAAATCCAACCATGAACGGTTTGTTCCTCTGCGCCTCATCAAACCACACAATTACCTTATGGCACCTAGATTTGTCTCTGACTCTTTTTTCCCTTTAACATTGGAACAGCTGAATGCACTGCTGAAGATGCTTTTAAGCATGCTGGTGAAAACATAGTCTTTGGAAGTGGAAGCCCTTTTGATAATGTTGATCTTGGTATTTTCCTTGTTAACAATGTCTTTATGGTACCGCAACTTCTGAAGTTTTTTTTCTACCTGAGTAGTTTGACCTTTAACTGTTCTAATTATGTTGGCAGGCAATGGAAAAGTAGGCCATGTAAATCAAGCAAATAACATGTACCTTTTTCCAGGGTTAGTTTCCTATATCTTAAGATTTGAACTAACTATGCTTATACTTCAAAATACTAATATGGTTTTTTGGCTGCCTTCAATCCAGGATTGGTTTAGGAGCACTTCTCTCAGGAGCTCGTATTATATCAGATGGCATGTTACAAGCAGCTTCTGAATGGTAATCACATAAAACTTGGTTATTTCCTTGCTCAAACCTACAGTTGGCATGTTACAAGGAGCTTCTGCACTCTCTTTTCTTCCATGTTTACAATGTCCTATCTGACTGAGTCCAAGATCACATAAAACAGTGGTTTTGAAGATTTGTTTATGTGTTCTTGTTACATTCTTTAAGACAGAGTAATTCTTTACCGGTTAAAGCAATTAAAATGCCTTTAGTTCTCTACACCCTAACAGCTGGGATGGGATTAGTTTTCTACTAGCCAAGTGATATGGAACTTTCACAGGCAGTATATATCGTATACATACGATTTTGGTTATATGACTTTTGCCATCTCATTACATGTTGCACCTAATTAATTCCCATAGGCTGTAACGTGGGAAGGTCTGTCAATTTGGGGGTGGCTTGTAATGTTTTATTCCTTATCTTGTTAATTTGCATGCATTGAGGAAACTCATTTTTACCGCGTCATGAAATAATAGTAATATGATACCTCACATTACAAATTTATTGTCACTGCAATAAGAAATGTTAAATGAGAACATCATTTGAGCTCAATTTTGCAATGAACTTCATTCAAGCTCAATTTTCCAATTAGTTTCTGACACAATGATTCTATCCAGCCTCGCTTCATACATAACAGATGAAGATATCCAGAAGGGCATCTTGTACCCATCTATTGATTGGTAATATTTCTCACCTTCCTTGCGCATTTCATTTTATTAGTCTAGCATACCAAACAGGATTGGAAATTTGTCTGACTATTCCTGTTGTATATGGTGCAGTATCCGGGATATAACTGTGGAGGTTGGAGCTGCTGTCCTCCAGGCAGCTGTTGCAGAAGAACTTGCAGAGGGACACTGTGAAGTCGGGCCCAAAGAGCTCATGAACATGTGCAAAGTAAGAACGTATCTACTATCTTTTACAAATTCAAAAGACCTTATACAAAAAGTTGCACAATGGAAAGTGAGTTTAGATTTAGAAAGCAAACTCGAAAATGTTGCACTACTTTAGCATAGAGAAAGGAGGACACCGTTTTAGGGGGAAACACACATTCGGATAATGCTACTCTAATAAGCATCTAATAGAACAACCATAACCGAGTACCTTAGCATGTAGGGTCCTAAACCCTCATTGCCTTCAGTATATCTTTATTTGAACCATCTCCGTCAAGTCACTGCTCACAACCTTAAAAAAATTAAAATTTCTCTGTTGAAGTCAAAGGAATTATCGGAATCATAGAACTAGGGAGCTGTCAATCTATATGGATAATTGAATGGCTAGTACATATTCATACAAGCTTTTGTTAGTACCAATGCTAATTTCGAATTCAAGTTCTAAAGTCTCTTGAATCTTTTGTTTTTATCTATTCCACGTAGGAGGAGATTGTGGAGTATGTGACTCGCAGTATGTGGTTCCCGGTTTACAGCCCTCTAGTTCATGAAAAATGAGGCTTTGGTGCTGTACCGCGCCCGATACAGTGCGGTCAGATGCTATATTTTTTGCAGCTCAGGCATCAATAGTTCTGCAGTCAAGCAACTTATTTCTTGGCCTGTCTTTATAAATTATTACAAGCTCGGAGAATTAGAGGACATTGAAGGGAACAGAAATAAGGCCCGCCCTTTTCTAAATTGATAAGAAAGTAGCAATTAGAAACCCATTTGTTTGAACAACGCACTGATTTATGTGATCAAAATTATTAGTGGTCTTTGTTTCCAAACATCTTTCGACATGTTACTTCAATTTGATGTTAAAACATTTTTTATTTTCTGGACTAAATTTTTTTTTCCTCCTCTTTCCATATCCTTCTTTCTTTTCCTCTCACATTTTTTATTTTGTCATTCTCTTTCTATATAAAATTAATCTAATATGTTGACGTGACTTAACTGTGATCATTCAAATAGAATAGGAGAAAAGAGGAGGAAGAAGAAAAAAGGAGAATCCTACTCCTTATTTTCTCGAGTGGTTGAATATTCTATGAAACATCTTTGACATGTTACGTCAATTTAATGTTCAAACATCTTTTTTCTCTCGAGTGGTTGAAGATTCTCATAGAATAGTAGGTGGTAGGGATTTTATTCTGGTCCTTTAATTTCATTGACCTTAAATGGAACGGACTGTAATGGTACGTTCCACTCAAAAATACATGTTTTTTTTTAAAAAAAAAAAAAATCTAGTCGTTGATTTTTAATCACATTCAATGGTAAGAAAAATGTAAAGTTTTATAAAAATTTTAAGGTTCATTTTCATGTGGAAGTTCAGATGAAGGTCCATCTTCCACCCACCACCAAAGCGACTAACTTGCAACTTTATCTTTATGCAAAATTACAACAAAAATGTTATTATTATCATTTATTTGTACCATCTCGCTAAGGGACTCACATGTGTTAGTGAGTCATACATCTATTTGAGAGATGATATAAATTGATGGTAAGTTAGACGGCTAGTTACAATTCCTATTAATCTCTAGGCATTTGAAAATTAAAAATGACACATAGACCTTTTTAGGTGTTCACCTAGCCTGCCCAGGTGCTCGCTTAGCCCCCTAGACTAGCACAGGTGCTCGCTTAGCCCCCTAGACTAGCATAGGTGCTCGCTTAGGCTGCAACTCTTACTTAAAAAGAAAATTGATAACTTTCATTTTGGATTTTATTTTTGCTCAATAAATTAAAAGACTTATTGAATACTTGGATGAACTTTCATTACACGCTTGTTCCCCATATTTTCAATATGTTATAATACTTTAATCTATATAACATTTTATTTTGCAATTTATATATACCAATACAACTAAGTAGTCTTATAAGTATAAGTAGGCACATATTTCTACGATGTATAATAAAATTACTAAATCTTCCTAGTCTGCCTAGACCCTGCATAGCCGCCTAGGCGCTAAACCCTAACTCACCACTCGACTAGCTTCTAGTATCCTTTAGTAGGCACATATTTCTACGGTGTATAATAAAATTACTAAATCTAGTCTACCTAGGCCCCGCATAGCCGCCTAGGCGCTAGACCCTAACCTACCACTCGACTAGCTTCTAGTATCTTTTAGAACCTTACTCAAATTACAATTACCATTTGAAAGTACTTCAAATGCCAAAGAATTTTAGACTCATTTGTTAAAATTACATTGTAAGAATACTACTAACCAATGAATTACTGAAGTGCTAAAAAAACTACGACGTAAACACTGAAAATGATCTACAAATACACCAAACAAAAGGAATGTGACATTCAAGACCCTCAATGTGATTTTTGCAATACATTGCTAACAAGTTTAGCCTCATTTGTATGAAACTTTTATCCAAACATAGGGTAATGTTTGAGTTGAGCCACCCAGATGATGAAAGAGGGTACGACAATGAGTTAGAGTTATAATAGGTCCATAATTTCCTCCAATGTAAGAAAAATTATAATAAACGATAATATACAAATAGTGTTGTTATTGACATTCTAAAAAATGTGATGTTACACTCCTTGGTATACAAATTTTTTGTTAAATTTTTAAATTTAAAGTGCATGATTTTTTTTTTTTTTTTTTTTTTTTTTTGCGCCAATAACAGCTGATTGGAAAAATAGCAAAGGAGACATTGTTACTGTACATATTATGTGGCCACCTTTTTGTTGCGGAATTAAGTGGCCACCTTTTTGTTGCTTCTGCCATTTGATGATAAATCGATGAGGGATGATGTCTGAGACTGAGGTAACAGTTTGAGGCTTCATTTATAATGTGTGAGTTTTGACTTGTACTTTTTGATAAAATTAGAAGAAAATTGTTGATTGCTTTCTTCTATTCTAACTATTTTTGGAGGGTCTGCCGGCTACAGCTGGCCTCGCAGACCTCCCAACATTTTTGCACGTGCCTCTGCCTATGCCACCCATGCCTACTGCCAACTTGCAACTGCATCTGCATTGTGGACACGTCATCTCGTTCTTTTGTTTGTTAGTCTAATTTTTTATGACTTGTCTATGTTGCTTCGGCAATTGATTTGTGCCGCTTTTGCGATTTGGTAACCTCGCTGTCTAGCGAGGGTTTTGGTGAGGGTCTCGGTACTTGTTATGTCACGTCTTGTTTATGAGACATATCAATCTCGGGATTTCTTGTTGTTACATTGTGATCGCACGATATACGATGAACGATCATAATCACATAATTCTTAAAATTCCTATGAAAAGAATCCGGCAAGGATCCTTAGGAAAATCCGACGATGATCCTTTTCCATGTACTAGCTAGGCATTAAATTGAACACCTCCATATTAAAAAATTTCTATTTAAGCAAATTTTCTGTTCTAGATTGACTTGAGTTATGCCACCACAAAATTATAAAGATAACGTGGGTATTTGTGTCACCTCGAATTATTTCCTTTCTATTAGCCTTCATGCACGCGCTCAAGCGTGTGTAGAAGGAATTTTTTGAATCACGGTTATTACGCATGATTTACACGTTTTAAATGTATTTATATACGTAAATTGACAAAAATAAAGTCAAATATTTGAAGTAAATGAATAATCTTAGATCAAATATCGTTTGTTAAAAAAAACAATCATTTGACAACTAATTTAATCACATTATTATCCGCGTGGGAAATATCTTTTTTATAACCAGCGAATCACATTATTATCCGCGTGTAAAATACTTTTTTTATAACCGGCATTACACGCCTCTTAAGATGTTTTGAATGTATTTAAAATAGAGAAAATAATATTTCATGAACATTTAATTGAATCCATGGTACAAAATGCCGATAATATCGGCGATATATCGCCGATATTATCGGTTTTTAGGGGAACCGATTTTTTTTTCAATATCCAAATGGTTTTCGAGATAATATCACGATATTATCGAAATTATTGATAATATCGCGAGATAATACCACAAAATACTTAAAAATGCTGAGAAGTCTCAACACATACTGCACTTGATCATAGCCCAAAGGCCGTGCAAGACATGCTTTTCTCAGCTTGGGAATGTGGCTTTTATAGGCCTTCTTGCTTGCTCATTGCCCTCACGTGGGCGATATGGGACTCGACCCAATGGGAGAGAAAATCAGAATTTCAGCCGGAAATCCACACCCATTTTAAACGGCCATAACTTTGTCAAAACTCAACAAAATCAAGCAAGACAAAAACGAAAGTTGTAGCCCTTGAAGAGACAAAGATAATGGTACCTCACACGACGTCTTACTCGTCGTGGTTTGGCCGGAAAATGCCTCGAAAGCCATTGAGGTCGTCGGAAACTGGGTAAGATTCAAATGAGTATAACTTTTTCAATACTCAACGAAATTGAGTGAAACAAAAAGGAAAGTTGTACTACTCGACGAGACGAAGAGATTGATACCTTGCACGCCGGCCAACTCGCCGTGGTTTGGCTGGAAAACCAAAACGTTTTGCCTCAAGGGCTGGTACATGTGAACTTGTGACTCCAACTAGGTAAGACCCAGATCTAATTTGGGGCCTTCTATCCTATATTTGTGGACAACCATCAAATGCTAAAGATTAAACAAACATAATATGTTCTACTGCTTAGCAAAAAAAGCTACAAACCCTTTGCTTATCAACAAAAAAAGACAAGTCCTTGCACTAGATATACTTTCAAATTACGTTGAGTAGCAACCTGATATATGTATTCGGACAAATTATAAAGCAATTGACACACTCCTGGCTTCCAAAATTCAATTCTTTTACTTTATATAAACTTGAAAAAACATAATCGGCATCCAAATTAAAGTTCAGTCTTATTCAACGTATTGATTTTCAATCGTTAATTGATATACTATAATTTGGAACTTCAACGCCTAGACGCATGCTTATGTGTAAGAAATTTAAAGTGTCAAATTCGGCACATTATTCTTCATCATTTTATTCAATTCCTTTTTTTTTAATATCCTAAATAAAACCTCCCAATATTGTACTAATTAATTATATATAAATGATTATGATGTGTTTAAATTTCTTTCATTAATTACTACATATTTTCTACACTCACAATGTTTGCCAGCTCGCTATATAATCAACTTAAATCAGTTAAATCCATCATGCAATGCATTTCCTTCCAATTTTTTGTGATAAACTAATAGATAATTGACTAAATAAACATCCTGCAAAGTTTCATTAAAAATTTCCACGTTTTTCTTACAATTTCCGTGGTTTCCATGTAATTTTTATCGATATCGATATTATCCCGATATTTCCGTGTTTTCGGACTACCGATATTTCCGATATTACCGATATTTTCTTCCTTGCTCTCAACACATCTATTTTATTTTTATATTTTGTCAATCTGCACCTCTAAGTTAGAATATTGTTCAAATAAAATTTATGTCATTGAATTGAAATTGGTTTCGTTAGAGGAGAGAAAATGTGAACCACAGAAAAATGGCATTTGAAAGTGAAAATATAAAAGCCCAAATGGTATTTGGACTAAAAAGTAGATTCAGTTTGCTTTTTGACTAACCGGTTTCACACATGGATGAAGACGAGAGAAATCCTTGGGTTTTATTTTATTTTTTAGAACATAAGAATCTTCGTATAACTATCATAGACAATATATGACACGATCCTCAGTGCAATTTACAAGATTTTCCGTCTACTCAAGCCTTTTGGTGTGTCATCATACCTAGAGAAGTCGAAAGAAGTCAAACCTATCTAGGAATTCGTTGATAAAATATATTAGTCATACCCGAGAAAGATAAGACCAAATTCAATTCTGTGCTAAATTCTATTTTTTAGGTTTTATTTCATTTCCAAACTCAACTCAATCCATGCTAAATGTATGGGTTAAAAGTCAAACAAAAGTTAAATTCCTCCCAAGATTTAGCCCAAAAAATGGTATGGGCACCACCAGCGGGACCCACCTACATATGCATGTCTTCCAGGATTTATTGAATTCAACGGTTAAGATCGAATATAATCAAATCTAACAGTAAAAAAAAAAAATATAATGGCCCAAATTTAAATCCAACGGCTAAAATAATTCAAAAAATTATTTAACTCAAAATTCACCCAAATTTAATGATTTTTCAATATTTATCGGAATTTAAAAATTTTTAGGTAAAAATGTTTATAAAATTAAATTATGATAGTGTACATAATTTTTTTTTAAAAAAATTACTTTAAAAGAAAAAATTAGCCTAAATTTATTCTTTAATAATCTTAGGCTAAAAAATTTAGGTCAGAAGGGTTGAAGCAGAAAAACTGTTTTTGGGCTAAAACCTAAATTTTTTGGGTTAAAAATTTTAGGTTTTAATCCAAAGGTTGCAGATAGTCTAAGTGGCTGGACTTTAAGGGTGCGTTTGTTGCACTGGATTGTCTCGGACTAGACTAGCTTCAGGGATTAAGTTGGACTGACTTAGACTAGACTAAGATGGATTAGCTTAGTGAAACGTTTGATGCAGTGTCAGACTAAATTATGGACTAAATTATTTTTTGAATCCAAGTTAGTTTTTTATCATTTTTTAATTTACTTTTGCCTTCAAAACGAAAAACAAACAAATATTATGGTTATAAAATATTATTTTGTAGCTATTCAACTTTTAGAAACCTAATTAATGTTTCATCCAAAAGCTTGCAGAGGCTTTAAGAAGAGAACCAGATATTTTGCAAATCTCTCTCTTCCTCGTCACTGCAAATCTCTCTCTTCCTCTTCTATTCCTCTCACAAAATCCCTTGCAAATCTTAAAATCAAAGGTGAGAGATGGGGTTGAATCTGCTTTCGGTTTTTGAGTTTTCTGGGTTTTTGACTTTTTTGGGTTTTCTGGGTCTTTGATTTTTTGGGTTTTCTAGTTTTCTTAGTTGAAATTTTGGGAGTTGGATATGGTATTGAAAAGGGAAAGGCTGCAGAAATCCACGAAATGGGTTTCTCAGAGAAAGATTTTCTGACCACAGATCCATGGTGGCTTCGCTGGAAGAGGAGTCTTATGGGAGAAAAATAGCAGTCGGGAGGGGGAAAGCAAAGAACTGACGAAGAGTGAAGCGGAAAGGGGTGAAGGAGAGCTGGTCTTAGCAATCCGCCCAATTTTGGGGGGCCTCGCTAAGACCGCCTAGTGAGGCGTTTAGTCTAGGCGAGTCCCTTTAGTCTCATTAAACACTGTCCCCACTGCTAACAAACATGGGATTTCACTCACTGTTAATCCTAACCAGTCCAGTGACACTTAGTGAGGGAAAACAAACGCCCCCTAAGGGTTTGACAAAGTAGCACACCTTTGGGCGCTTTGAAGGGCATATGGTTTTGTGGTTACTTAAGAACCCCAAAGGATCTACCAAACTTACCTTTTTATTTGCATTTTCTATAATTTCTTACTTTTTAATTGCTTGTGTGACTGAAAAAGGAAATATTGAAAGAGTTGGGCTCTGCACAGGTGAACAATGCAGGGATTATGGGAGCCACCATAGTAGATACCGATGCTTATAAAGCTGCAACAGCTTCTGTTATTCCGGTAAGTCTTTGACATAATTTTTCTCACAAGGCCACTTTCGGTGCCTACTATTGAATTAAATTGGATAACTTACTAGCCTTTTAAAGGAAAATGATCTGTGTAATGTCATTCGGAACGATATTTTCACTGTGATAGTTTGATGCCTCATGACTGATGTGCATGTGAACCTGTAATTAACAAATTTTTTGTTTGGGGTGGGTGTCTGATGCAGGAAGGAACTGATTGGAAGAAAATTATGACTCAAAATTATGAGTTAGCAGAAGAATGCGTGCACACAAACTATTATGGTGCTAAACGAACAACTGAAGCGCTTATTCCACTCCTCCAATTATCTGATTCACCGAGAATGGTTAACGTTTCATCTTCCTGGGGCAAGTTAAACTATATACCTAGTGACTGGGCTAAAGGAGTTTTTAGTTAACCTAACAGGAGCGAATGTTGACTCAGTTTCTAAAAGACTTCAAGGAGGGCTCAATTGAAAGCAAAGGCTGGCCAGCTTTTACGCCCGGCTATATACTCTCAAAAGCAGCAGTGAACGCATATACGCGGGTTCTAGCGAAGAAGTACCCCGATTTTCGCATCAATTGTCTCTGCCCCGGATTTATCAAAACAGATCTGAACTTCAATGCTGGTAACGTGCCTGTCGAAGAAGGTGCTGCAAAGGTTCTGAAGTTAGCATTTCTGCCCAATGATGGTCCTTCTGGCTTCTTCTTTGTTGAGTCTGAAGTAACAGGTTTTTGATTGAAGATGATCTGTATTATATATGCAAATGTTGCCAATGTATGTGCTTTATTTGGGCAGTACCTTGAATATATTCGGAACATTCTTTCTTTCTGTAACTAAGTACTTTATAATGTTTTTTCTACATTGAATCTATATTCGATCAGTCGTGCAATATTGAATTACAGAATTCTCATTTAAAGTCTGCAGGATGTTGTTTCTTTGTATCCGATATCTGTCAGTCATTGGTACGTTTTGAAATCTTATTTTTTTGACATGAAATATGTATGTGTATATTTTGAATGTGTTTATGTACCAAAATAATGGTTCATATCAAATTTTAACATTTGATACGTACCATAATACTAGTACATACCCTAATTAGCATTTCATAACGCACCAAAATACTAGTACGATTTCCAGTTAGCATTTCACCTTGTTGGTCGGTATGTTTATTACCGATTATGGTATATTAATATGATTTCTTTGACATGGTTTATCGGTACTTTTATATTGTTGTCAATCCTATTTGCTTATAATATATTAATTGTTGCGGCTTATTTTGGTCATACTTCATCTTACGAATTTGTTGCAATGTCAAACCTCTGTCAATTTATCTGTCAATTTTTCTGTTAAATGCTAACGTGGCTTGAGATGAGATCTACTCCCTCGTCCAAATGGATAAAAATATTAATAAATTAAAGATAAAATTATAGAAATATTTTTGTAAAAACATGTGGGACCCACCATTTCTCTCTCCCCTCACATCTAATATGTCTCTCTCACATTCTCTCTCTCTCTCTCCTCTTTCTCCCTCACATCCAATTTCCTACGATTCTTTATTCCTCCATTCTTCACTTTCATTCTCCAAATTTCACTAATCCATTTCATCTTTCCCCGAAATTTAAATCGGACCAGAGAAAAAAAATTCACCACTCTCCTCTTTCTCTAGAAAAAATCCACCTTCATCCTCCGAATTTCACCATTCTCCTTCTCTCTCCCCCAAAAAATAAAAAAGAATAAATAAAAAAAGAATAAATTTTGGACCAAAAAAATCCCAATTTTTTTTTTTTTGCAAGCGGCTCCATTGGACTTGGGGACGGTCAAAGTGGGTGACTCAATGATGATGAGGGGATAAAAATTGAGGTTGTTCTCGATTCCGAATGATGAGGAAGCCATCGTCCGAAATGGGCGACCCGAAAGTTATCTTGCTATTGTTGAGCGAAATTGGGACGCCAAAGGGTGGCTTGGTGACAGAGAAGGAGTGTTCGAAGAGTAAAGTCAGGATCTTGGTGCCAGCGCGAAGGGATTTGAGGTTTTGGATTGGGGAAGATGGATGAGGGTGATGGGTTTATAAGGGGTGGGTTCAGCGGTTGGAATTTGGTGGAGGAGGACGAGGAGGGGGAGGAGTTCCATGGGAGGGAGGTGCAGATGGATGAGGACATTGGAACATATCAGACGAAAGGGGGAGAAGAGAGAGAATTATAGGGGTGGGTCCCACATTTTTTATAAAAATATTTAAATAATATATATTTAAATTTATTAATATTTAATTAATATTTTTATCCAAGTGAGGAAGAGAGTGGGTCCCACTCCAAGCCACGTCAGCATTTAACAGAAAAATTAACAGACAAACTGACGGAGGTCTAACATTGCAACAAATTCGTAAAATGAGGTATGCCATTGTATTTTTTAAAACATGAGGTATGAGATTGTGATTCGACCTATAGTTGAGGTAGTTTTGTGTAATTTACCCTACAAAATTCAATAGGAAAGGATACAATATCTCATAGGATTCCTAATCATAATCTACATAAGATTACACAATCACACACTTGCCAGTATTCTTACTACAACACTTTCCCTTACGTGTGTAAAATACTCAAGTAGCAAACATGAGACAGTTGATGAAGTCGTCTCATCTAAGTCAATACAAGTAGCAAACATGAGGCTGGCCAACTCTGTATTGAAGCAAGCTCATTTTCTACCTTAGTGATTTGTGTTTCTACACCTATTTCCCAATTCCAAATGGACCTTTCATTAAAGATCACTCCTTAAAATCACAATTTCTTTTGTTTTCAAGTTATGGCCCCTGTAGTCTTTTTCACAGCTACCATAAAACAAAAATGCATTTGTTAGCAACTTTATCCAGCTTTTGTCTAAAGTGTGTGAAACATGTGATTAACAAATCGATCCAAATATTCTTAGGTGTTTCACACCTAGTTTCCTCCCATTGTGAGCTTCAAAAGTAGTCTTGTTTGCTATTGCTTTGGTAGGACATCTGACACGCCCCAATCCGATGTCCGGGGGACAGCGAGATGGTCACGTGCTGGCCGACACCCGAGGGTGATGCAAGCCATTTAATGAATGCATATGCCGAGAACATGTGAAACATGCATTTAAATTTTGCACGAACTATGCAATATAATATTCAATCGTGAGTGAAAAGATAGTGATAATGCATGACATGTTCAGAGCATACATCTAATTCAGAATACAAGCGGAAGGTGTGACAGAAAGTGCTATTACAAGTGATGTCAAAAGCAGAGATGATGGCACGATATCACTGGTAGGGGAATGCCTCGTAGCTCAGATCGTATGCCTCATTCATAAGTCTTGAAGGGGCGCAAAACAAACATGAGTATACCAAGTTGATATATAAGTAGTACTAACATAGTTATTCAACAATGTACTAACCCCAAAGTTTATGAAAACTCATATAACATAATAAGTAATAGGTTTTCCGAAAAGCCTAGCATGTCATAAAACCTTTCATAAAACATATATCGTATATAATGTGCTAAATAGTGGTATCATAATCGACTGAAGCCACTACATCACCCGACTGAAGCCAAATATATGAATATCTTTCGACCTATAGGCCACTACATCACTTGGCCGAAGCCAAAATAAATATCTTCCGACCCGTAGGCCGCTACATCACCTAGCCAAAGCCAATATAAGTATCATCGCCCGTAGGCAGAATAGTGACCACTAGATAAGCACAAAAACATTGAATATAATCTTTCCAACATAAGTACATACATCTCAAGGAGCTCAGTAGCTCAAACATCATATCTTAAAATATCTTCATAATATATGGTCATCAATCATATATACTACAAAGAACGCAAAAATCGATAAAGTATGGTATTCCAAAATATTCTTAGTAAAGCATGATATCTCATAAAGTGTAAATCTAGTTTACTTGTAAAACGTTTCATAAAACGTAACCATTAAATCATGATTTTCATGTATGCATTTCTAATAATAAAATATGCATTTTAGAAGGGTCCACTCACAGATACTCTGTCATCGAAGAGCAGTGTGAACTAGGAGGGACGTAAACGCCTTTAATAATCGCACATAAGCACATACAGGGTCCAATTAATAAAATGCTACCATAATGATTGAATTTCAAAAAACGAACGTCATAAATGGATTCAGGACATCAAAAAACATAAGAGGGGACCTCAGGTACTCCCACGCGCCGCCGCAAGATGGCGACCTCGACGGCTAAGCGCTGAGAATAGGTCGCTGGAAAGTTGGCTAGAAAAGTCGTCGGCGACGTCGTGATCGTAGCCGTGGACGGCGGTGAAGCACAGTACTTCCGGCAGAGGCACGTGTGCTCCATGCACCGGCACATGCGACCCTTTATACACTCCCATGCGTAGGCCCACGGGCCACTCATGCGCGGCCTGGGTTCAAAGTTGGGCCGGTTCTATTTGGGTTTGGGCCTGAGTTAGGTTTGGGCTCCCTAAGGTTTGGGCCCGAGTTAGGTTTGGGCTCCCTAGGGTTTAGGCCTGAGGTTCATTGGGCCAAAGGCCCGAATTGCACGGTCCAAAGGCCTAGTTTGGGTCTCATGTTTAATGGGTTGGCTTTTGGGCTAATGGGTTGGGCTTTTAGGTTAATGGCTAGCCAATTAGGCCAGTTCCATGGCCCAACAAGTTGGGTTGGTTAGGTTCGACCCATTTTCAGGCCAAGGTTTAGCCGGTTTCTGGGCACAACTTCAAACGCCTATAACTTCTCCGATATTTAACCAAATCAAGTGATTCAAAAACCAAAGTTGTAGTCGTTAACAAGATGAAGAGAACGGTACCTTGCACGACGGCTAACTCATCGTGTTTTGGCCGAAAAATGCCTCGAAAGTGGCGGTGCTTGCCGAAAAATTAGGAAAAGCTACTCTAAGCTATTTTCTGCGATTAACACGTATGTACATCTTAAAACAAGCTTCGATCTATCCTTAAAATGCATCCCAAGAGTTTCTAGAAGCTTACCAATGTTGGAAAATCACGAAACAAGTTAGGAAAGATGATGAATAGTGACAACGTCGTTAGAGGGTTCATTGGCTTGGCACGGGGTTCCGAAGCCTCTCCGTCCACGTGGTGGTGGTTTGGGGTTGCTCTGTGTGTGTGTGTGTCAGAAAGGAGAGGGAGAGTTGCAGAGAGAGGGCACGGGGAGAAGGAAGGGATAGAGAGAAAGAGAGAATTGAGAAAGTGATGGGGGAAAGAAAGAGTTACAAAATCAGAAAAAGAAAAATGAGGGGAGGGGGATCATGGATGGGAAAGAAAAGAGGAGACATGTGGGCCTAGTGGCTCACAAAATGAGTTCACTAAAGATGAAATACGAAAATATCCGAAAACGTTTGACGTTTCAAACGTAAAATCTTCGTTATAAATCCGAATTCGAATCCGTTTACACCTACGTGTTCATGGCAATAAGTACTTTAAGAATCTTTTAATAAAATTAAAACTACGCGTTTCGATGAGACAGTCAAACAAAGTCAACTCAAGGGTAAAAGGTAATTTTATAAGTCCAACAATATGAAAATACACTTAAATTAGGACGGGGTTTCACAACATCAATTTAGGAAGTAAACAGTTGTGTTCACATCTTCACCCTAAAAATAATAAGGCATTTTCTTCTCATGGATCATTGCCTTAGCTATTTCAATGATGGTTCTGTTTTTCCTCTGAGCAATTCCATTTTGTTAATGTGAATATGCTACTGTAAGTTGCCTTTCTAGTCCTATATCCTCAAAGAAATTTAGGAACTCATAAAATGTGTACTCTCCTTCTCTATCACTTTCCTCAGTTTGTTAATTAGGTCTCCAATTTTC